AGATCAAGCAATTATTACTACACAGATCCCATTCTTGAGATCACTAGGCCTTTCTTAGTTATATTAAGCCAAACTGAGTGAGCCCCCCAGGCACATGTCTGAGGGAATTCAATGCCAGGACTTCTATACAGGCTCTCTGCAAGGCAGAAAGCACAACAGAAATGCTAATTATCTTACTTTCCTTTAGCCAGATTATTAGAGCTCCTCCTCATTGGTCAGGGTAAGACTTAAATGTACTGTACAGCTTGTGAACATTAATTACATCTTAGATAAAGCAATATCAAAACAAAAGCAGCAAGGTTGACTTTATTCTGGTGTAATTCTAATAGTAAGAGCTTTCTTAGCCTTAAAATCTCTGTATCACAACAAAGTACTCAGCACTGATGGCACTACAATAACACTTAATACAGCTGAAACCAAGATGCACCTGGTCATAAAGGTGTCTTTAGAAAGGAACGTGCATGGGTTCAGTCAGTGGAGGTCCTACCCAGAGCAGCTGAACCAGCTATGGTCAGGCAGACACTGCCAGCCCTGCAAAATGTGCTGCCATCACTTTGGAAAAGAAGTAGGGGTAGGAAAAGTGAAACCACACAAAATTCTTCTTTGGGTACTGTCTTCCCTCAGCATTTCTCCTCCCACTCACCACCACCCAGCTAGATAGCCACTTTCTTTCACAGCTGCTCATCCCATCTGCTCTGGTACTGTCTGCACTTGTCTCTTTAACCCCTGCACCCACAATTGCTCCTGACTTCACTTCTTTCCATACACTTTCTTTTTCTGTTTTGAGCAGATACTCCCCCAGACAAAAGAAACACTTCAGTGTTGCCAGTTGGCATTTTATTTCCATACCTATCTCCACATCCCATCCACAGCAAAAAGGAAGAATAGAAGATGAATCTCCCAGAAACATCTTTGCCAGGCATACATTCATCTCCACTGATACACTGTGTGCTCCCTCCTTCCAATAATTCAAAAACAGAAAGAATTTACAGGGGGAAAAATGAATTAACTTATGAGACACTGAAAAGCCATGCAGGAAATAGCGAGTTTTCCGTGTTCACCTGACAAAGGAATGAGAAACAGAGGGTTTAGAGAACAGAAGCACTAATCCAAGCAGGGGAAAAAATAAAGCAACAATAGTTGGAAAAGGCCTGGTGGATTGAAAGCAAAAATAAAGACACCAATGAAGGAAAGAAACACAGAGATGATGTGACAGACAATACAATCCAACCAGCAATATTTTGCTTTTAAGAATAAGTTCTTTAACAAAGAAATTATGATGCATGATTAGGAAATGCAAAATAAGACAGCAAGCATGTGGAGGTAAGTGGAGTTTGCTGGATTATTGTACTGTGCAAAGATGACAGTATACAGATCCCATGATTTCCCCCAACTGCAGCTGGTACAACTGCTAGAGCCATACACTGATCAGCTAAGCCTGCTTGCAAGGGCCCCCCTCCTCCCTCAAAATAACATTACCTCAGGCATCACCCGCATAGAACTACACTGCTCCCTAGTCCATAGCAGCACAGATGACTGCACCACTGTCCTTTACACAGCAATAAAGTCCCTGCCTGAAGACAAAGGCAGTTGCTGTGATCTTCTGTAATCCCAGCTGAATCTGAACTACATATTATATACCTGTAATACATATAAAAAATCAGGTCTGCTTTTAAATTACCTAATCTGGAAGGGATATGGATCAAACCCACATGGACTTCAGAGTTATGCCTGTGATAGTGATTCACATCTACTATAGGATGTTCCTAAAAATAGCTGCTTGTCTTAATTCCCTTTTTCCAAATAATTTTAATGAAATACAAAACATCTTCATGCAAGAATTATATATGCTATAGCCACATAAGTATTTTGATTGGCTACCTAAGCTTTCCAAAAGGCAGTTTCTATTTAAAACTTGACTTGTATTGAATGTCATGCTTAAGTTTAAACTAATTTGGAGGTCAGTCACATACTTTGAGAAAAAATGAAAAGTCAAGATTTAAGCAAGTTTGACCAAAAAATCTGCTTTTCATCTCACAGCTAGTTCTATTCCTCAGAGTTTATCTTCCTTTGACCACAGTATTTTATTAATACTGCTCAGCTGGAAAAGAAGTGATATTATAATCATTAGCATGCTGTCAAAATTTGAAAGGACAGCCCACTCCCCCCAAAATGTTTTGTGAACTACAGTGAGGTTCACAGAACTGCCAAAAGAAAAGCATAAGTATATGCAAGCTGTGGTCTTTTAGGTGTCTACTAACAAATACAGTACACACTGCATTAACTAAAATGAAGATTCACCAAGACAAGAAAGAGCCTATCAAGATGCTTATGCTGAAGGTTTGGGTAATTTTCATGAAAATCCATTCATTTTTATAAGCAAATTTACTTTAATTATACATTTAACTTAACTGCCATGGATATGAGGATAACTGTATTTTAGTAAAAAATGGCTTTGAAGGAAACGAAGAAATTTGAAATTCCATGTACAAGGATTCCAATGATTTCAAATTCACTCAGTAGCGTCCACGAACTCCTGGCACTGCAATATAAAAGACTCAAAAAGATGGATTACCTCAGCAATTCATCTGAAAGAATGCAGCTCTGAACTGAAGTACTTGCCATGAGTTCATACCTTAAAACACACTCTTTCAACAAAACTGAACCATGATAAAAGATGATCAGATCCCAAATGGAACTGAAAAACAGCAAGATATATTTAACCAATAACCCAGTGCAAACTACTTCAGTATTCCTGGGCGTTATTATAGCTCTGTGATAAGGGCTTTATAAAAAAACAAGAGCTAAAACTCTAGACTAACCAAGTAATTTTACAGGGTAACACACTATCTCAATTTATGTAGGATTTTGGTCTCAAAGTTTTCACGAAGATTAGCCTACTAATTTTCATAACTGTTGGCAAAGTTCTGTCCAGTGGTACAAGCTGGTCGGATATAGATGTGTATCTCCTACATGTGCTGAACCAATAGACTTAAGCATAACTACAAGGCCCTAGTAATCAATAATTCCTAATTCCTAACAAAAGAAAGCAGTTGAAAGCAGTTTTGAAAAAAAAAAAAAACACAAGAACAGCAGAAAGCTATCTGTTGTTCTACAAGACATAAGTGTGCCTCTGTTTTCAAGGCATCAAATGTATTCAAGCAGCAAAAGTCTACAGGATATCAGCTCTAAACAATACTAAAATAAAATGAGTTATGAAGGAAGTAGGTTGCATGTTTCAAATTGATGGTCCTGAGTTCCATCCCCAACCTTTCAAATATCTGGTTATGCCAATAGTGGTGATAAGATGAGAAGTAACAGTTTCAAAACAAAAGGGGGCAGGTTCAGATTAGGTGTTATGAAGAAATTCTTTACTCTGAGGGTGGTGAGATACGGGAACAGGTTGCTCAGAAAAGCTATAGATGACCCATCCCTGGAAGTGCTCAAGGCCAGGTTGGATGTGGTTTTTGAGTAACCTGGTCTAGTGGAAGGTGTGCTTGCCTGTGGCACAGGGGTTCAGAACTAGATGGTCTTTATGGTCCTTTCCAACCCAAACTGTTCTATGATCCTATGACGATTACTTAAGTCTCAGCTGTTCCCATATCATTACAGGTTAAAGCACCTCAGGAGAACCACTTCCTAGTCATACTTCCTCCTTGTGTGGTGCCAGAGAGTACTGTCACAGTCTGCTGGTCACGGCAGAAAAGGGCTGAAGAAAGGCCTCCAGTGTCCTACTCAACTGTTCCAATAACAAAAACAAGACTTGTTTATTGATCCCTTCAGAACAGCCTAAATGAGCCTAAATGCCAGTGCTTTCTGGGTCTGCCTTCCATCAGCACAGCCTCAAATCCATGCTAGGACTCTGGTAGCAGCACAAAAAGCCAGATCAGTGAACTGTTTTGGCTGAAATTTCACCACATTTCTGGTTATTTTTCAGGTCAGTTTTCAGCCAGATCATATGGCTGTACAGAGCTGATGGCTGGCACAAGGAAGGCCAAGAACACCTTTGGCTCAGAGAAGGTGGATCAGCTCCCTCCATTACAGCACAATGCTCAGGCTGGCTCAAAGTGTTTAAGGAGATATTTCCTGATATGAACAGTCTGCAGCTCTTCCTCAAGCCCCCAGGCTACAGCACAAAATCATAGAGCATTTGCTGGAGTATAATGTGAACACTCCTTTGTCCAGGCTCACAGCTCAAACTGTTGTCTGGTCCTCTACTTCCAGAACTGGCTCTGTTTTGTTATTCACAGTAACTAAGTAGGAAGGCTTTCTCTGTATGTTCACCTGAAAATCAAGATGACAGCGCTGTAAAATATTCTATTAAGCTGACAGCATTTCTCATGTATGTTTTGGCTTGTTATACAGTTCTGAGCTTGATATTTGTACACAAAACCAAAACTGACATAAATAAATAAAGGATTTTCTCTCTTGTTTTTTTTTTTTCAAGGCATAACTCCTGGAATCATGCCATAGTTGCAAAAAACACCTTCAGAAACTTAGGACTTCCATCAGCCTCAGGAAGCAGATCGGTTGCAAAGTCCTGTTCCTGGGCAAAAGATCTAAGAGAGAAATTACTGTATCAGCCTTCTGAGCTACTATACAGCACACCAAGGGACACGTCAGTAGCAAAGGAAGGAGACTGGAAACCTTACCAGTATTGCCACTTGAATAATCTCATGAACGCTGATAATGAAAAGGCTACAGGAAAAACAAGAAAAAACTTCCCAAAAAAAACCAAAGTGTAGTTTAACAGCATATTTAAAAGTTTGAAACTTCATCAGATAACCACACCTACTAAGCTAACCATGTACAAAAGGCACAAGACAAACTAAAAATGTTAGACAAACCTCCAGGAAAGGTCCCAACAATACACATAATCATTAAATAGACAAGCAAAATTTTAAAATATTAATCAAGAATATATTTTAAATATTTGCTGGTACAATCCCTTTAGGGTTTTCAAAGCAATGAAATGTTTTTGGTACGTTAGAAATACTTACAACTACTCCACTCTTGGTGACAGTTTCCCGGTATGTAAAATTGCACACTGCCCAAGCCAGGTAATAGGTGGACATGAGAGGGGTCTGTGAAAAGTGATCTGTAACCCATCCATCTTCTTCAAAAACAGAAGTTTCAACTGGCATGTTGGACAAAGATAAGTAAGTAGCTTGATGTCTGATGCTGATTTTGAATGTGGCCTTGTAGATGGGCTCGTCAAAGCAAGGAAAGGCTTTTCTGGCATGAGTAGGAGAAAACTGTGTAACACCAAGAAACCTAGAAAAGCAGAAAACAAAAATAAAAATTGATTATTAATTGTGCCTAGCACTTGATTCACAGACATACCAAATAAGACACTGCTTGACCATTGTGGTTTAAAGGAGGAAATAATTACAACTGTAATACACAAAATATATAGTGTTTGAACACTGCTTGATCATTTTCTTACTACATCTACTGCAATGCAATAGATACAAATTAACGGTCTACAAATTTCATGTAAATTTATAGACACCACACTAACACTAAAGAAATCAACCCTCGCCTTGCATCAAACTTCAGGTTCTCAAAGTATTGCTCATCAATATGTGGGGGAAAAAGCAAGCCACTGTTGGCTACACAATGCAAAACAAGCAACTCAGTTCAAACCAGGATTTAAGAGCCTTCAGGGAATTCACTCTGCCCTGAGACACTGACAGGGCTCTTTACCTTTCTCTGGGCATGAGAACTTACGGTCACACAGCGCACTCAGGAGAGTCATTGTTTTCCACAGCTGATTACTTCTCTACCAGCTGCATGTAGGCCTGGGACACAGTACTACATATCACTGCTGTGTCTGTGCACCTCCAAAAAAACCATTCTGTGAGCTTAGCAGAATCACAAATGAAAGCAAATTATTAAACCTGCATAAAGTATTTCACCATTCTTCTACACATGTTTTTTTTTTTTCCTGGTGTACTTTATAGAGAGCGATCCATGTTCTCAGTAAATGGGCCAAATTTTGGAAAGATCTTTGAAGGAGGTAAAGGTATTTATTAAGCATGAATGGGAAGAATGGGAAGGCTTCAGCTTGACAATAAAACCTGTAACTTTTTTTTTTTTCTTTAACTAAATAAATTTTGATCCAGATACAGAATAGGAAGCCTTCTGAATGGAGACATGTATTTACACATCTGGAAAAAAAACATGATCTTTTTGTAGAAAAAATAAGCTAAACTTAAAAGGTTGAAATATGGAGTTTGGTAAGAGTATTTTCTGGAGGCATGTAGAATAAGAAAATTACCATGGGCCAACCATGTAAATATGAAGGTAGCATGCATGTAGGCTTTTTGATTCATGTCTCACCTTCCAAGGTTTCATCTGTGGAAATAACTGCGCAATTTTAGATACCAGGCAAACATTTATCAAGATTTTAGAGGCTGGCTGTTATTCAGCTGTTATTCCTCTGAGGGAAAAAGATGGGTGAATAGCTTTGATGTAATGAAAATGGTGATACCTATTATTAATCAGAATATAACTATTAATCTCCAATATGATACTCTAACATTGATAAAACAAAAACATAGGCACTCCATAGGGAAAAAAAAAGTATCATTAACTTTTTTTAAAACTTTTTGGATTTTACACATATTTTGGAGGCAATGAAGAAATAATTTTATTGAAACATTACACCTTTTTCTTGTTAGAGTGCCTGATAGAACTAGATATATGTTTTCAATCAGGATAACTTTTTTAAAACTTGAAAAAATTTTCCACCACTGAAGCAGTTACCATTGGTCTTCTTTCTAAAATAAAAAGCCTTTTTTGGCTAATAATTATTGAAGGTATTCACATTTTCCTTGCCTCATGAAAAAACATGGATTATTAAAACCAGCATTTTGGATAAGACTGCTAAATCTAAAGTAAAAAGTTAGTGCCAGATATCTCAGTGTTAATCCAAAAAACTCCCATATCAATGGATTTGTACTACTGCAACAAAGCCAAATCAGCCAATTAAATGAAGCAAAGCAACTTAATTTCTATGCAAAGTATTTCAAGTGGACCTGATTCTGCATTCTAGGCACACTCTAAACAGCTACAGACATCAACAGAGGCTTCAAGTGAGCACGGAAAACTGTACTGGCCTGTTATTAACAAAGCGAGAATGATGAACTTTCCTCTGCAATTAACGATTTTAATGAGCTCCGACACACACGTAAATGCGTACTTAGGAAATATTGGTCATACTGTGATACCCTCTAAATAAGGAAGCTTTCCCGTGCCCTCTCTCCACATCTTCACCCCACTTCTCAGAGACCTTATCAGCCATCTTTTAATACATATTAGGCCACTGAAACAATCCCTTCATCAGGCTAATAAACCCTGGTAAACTATTCATCTTCTGTGTTTTCGCAGAGAGACAGATATATCCACATAGACATAACTGGGCAAACACAGAGCAGTCAATATTTCATACTAAAAATACACCAACTACCAATAATAGTGATATCTACAACATGTGCATTACTATCAAACATCGATTTGCTTGTTGCGCCACAAAGCAAAACAAACAAAATCTTAAAACTGCTTTAAAAAAAACCCCTAACCATTTAAAGAAAACAAACAAGCTAAACCTAAAACATTATTTATCTATTTCAATCTGTGTTCAAGTAAAACAAGCAGACTTCTACAGCGTGCCAAAAGTGAAGGGCAGTTTGACTATTTCATCCTTCCCTTTACACAGCTCTCTGGGTACCAACACTCTTACCTCCTGTTGCCAAAAAACCACCACCACAAAAGGTTGTACACTTAAGGGCATGATGGGCTCACACGGTCTCCTCAGAATACCCATGGCAGTAACTTGCAGGTGTTTTAACTCTATCTTGTCTATTAAAGGAAGATGTGTTTCCTCAATAACCTATTCTGACATCTTAGTTGTTAGAAGATTAAAGAATACGTCTTTGTTTTCTCTGCATGATATAAGAATTTTTTTCCTTTTCACTTCCAAACTTTGATGTTCATTTATATTATGCCTGCATACTCCTCCTGTAGCTCTGTATTATATTGCTGTTGATTATTGTCAGTAAATTCTAGCACATAATGCAAAGTAAATTTGTAGCATATCACTTGCATTTTACATTTCAAGTACAGTAAGAAAGATTTCAGTCCAAAAATAAACACTTGAACAGCGCTTTTACCTTTCAGGCTGATTTACAACATTCACCTGTGAAGGCCAGAGAAACTAACTTTTGGGGAAAAAAATCATAAAGTGAAGGCATTAATATGTTTCTGGTGCCTCCCAGCAGTTATTTGCTCCTCATGTACAACAAAAGTGAAAAATGATGGTTTGGACCCTTTTACAGCAAGTACTACTCCAATGAGGCTGATGTACTTTAATTGAATACAAAGTTGTCAAAAAATCAAAGCCCTGCTGGAACAGCAAGGTCTCCCAGAGCATGCAAGTCTGTCTGTCTATCATAACAGAAGCTGTCTGTGTTTGAGGACTAAAAACAGTTATATGTATCATATTAAAAAATGGTTTATTAATCGGAATGCAAATTGTTACTGTAAGAGCACTCTCTGATCAAAAAAGTTCCCTGGTTTAGAATGGGTATTATTCACTGAGTCATTAAGCCTCTGACAGATGAAAAGGAAAAACACTTTTTCTATTTAACACCTTAAACTACAACCAAGCAATGACTACAGTTATAAAATTGTTTTACTGAAGGAAATATCAGTGAGCTGGTGTAAAGGAAAAACATGCCACTGATTTCAATATAGCAATGCTACCTTATGTAAGGTAAGTAATTTGCCCATGACTATACTTAAGTGTATTAAAAACAAAGTAATTTATATCTGAAAACTTACACACGGAGCACTGCGAAAAACATTTTACCATCACCTTCCACTCTGTGTCTTAAACTATCCTGATGATTGAAGCAGTGAATAGACCTTTTTTCTGTTGGTGATGGTTTCTAAATCTCAACTAGGGGATCAGTATTGAAGTGTAGTACAGTAGCTCTGGAGAAATGTCACTGCCACACCTATTTGACAGTTCAATTATTCCTACACAAAGTCAAAGTACACGAGAATAATAACTGCTTAAATAACTTCTCAGATTTGTAAAGTGAATTATACCCCCTGCTGTTAACAGTATTTTGTTTTCTCATTTGCCCATTTCAATAGAGGTTTGTAAGAACTCCCTATTACCCCAACCATTCAGTCAACTGTGACAAAAGGCATTTTATCTGCATCTTTTCTTACAACTGTGCTTTTTCAAATTTCCTTTTTACTTCACTCTGATGACAAATTGCAAAAACTTAATTTCAATCCTGCTTGAGGTTCTAATATCAGGCTTTTGAAAATTGTCAGTAATCATAGTAATGAAAATATGTTTTAATAAAAGGGCTTTTGACTTAATTGAGTTGGTGAGGATGCTTTTCATGTCTTAATATTTTTGCCCGGTTCTACCAACTATAAAATCTTTGTTTCATTTAAATTGTTTCCACAATCTAAAACACTAAGATTCAGGAAAAGAAAACCTGTCACTGCACAGATATTTCAAGAAAGGACAGCTTAAAAAGAATCCAATTCCAAAATTATAAACCATGCCAGAACTATCAAGAAGTCCATCCTTGCCTTTCTTTTCCATTACAAAGCCTCAATGTGGTGAGAAAACACCTTCTTTAAAAAGAAAGCCTCTGTAACTGAACGGAGCCCTCCACAGTAACCCTGCCCACCAGAACAAGGGCCCAGACAAGGACCCAAGGGGCTTTAACTACGTGAGTAAATACAGATCAAGTCTGAATCTTGCTCTGCCCGCAAATGAAGCAGGTTTGTCGGGTCACGGGGTATAAATCTGCCGCGACCCAGCTGTACTGTAAACGCATTCAGCGTATGTGAAAACTCATCCCATCACGTTTTTTGCTTTACCAAACAGAATAAAAGCAAAACAGAAGTCTCGCTGCCCTACACGCTGCTATTTGTAACCTGACGAGGCTCTGTCATACCAGGGCACACGGCAGCCGAACACAGTGTCTTTGTGTGAAACAGACCCGGAGCCTCTGCCTTGACAAGGACCTAGCGGACGTTCTGCCCCACTGGCGGCACCCTCGCAAGTTTGCTCCTTGCCACCGTCCGTCCCCAAGCTGCGCCGGGCCATCTCCCGCCCCGCGGCCGCTCCCCGCAGCCCTGCCCGCGCAGGCGGGGCGTGCAGGGTGCAGGCGGAGCGCTCCGCTCACCGGCGGCGGCCCCGGCTAACCCCGGCCCGGCCTCCGCACGGCCCAGCCCGCACCGCCCCGCGGCAGCTCCGCCCGCCCCCGCTCGCTCCCGCGCAGTCCCGCAGCCTCGGCCGCCCTGCAGCCGCTCTCACGGCTGGCTCACGACACCGGCCGGTGGCTTGGAGCGAGCAAGGGCTCGCGGTCCCCGAGAACGCCCGCATCTCTGCTCTGACAGCCGAGCGCTACGGAGATGACCTGACAGAGGTGGCGGGGGGATGCGAGGCCTGGCCTGCGCTCAGCAACCGGCCGGCCTTGGCGGCCGTTCCCCCGCCCGGGCAGCCGGCCGAGCCCCGCATCCTTCGGCGGGGCCGCCGGGGCCGAGCAGCGCGGAGTCAGCGGCATCACCCGCCTGGCGGCGCCGCGGCCGCCGGGTCCTAGCGCCGCCCTAGCCGAAGTTGGCGCGGGGGCCGCCAACTTCGGACAGAGTTGGGTTTGAGGCGACGCGGCCCGTCCGCTACCTTCGCTCGCCGTGGAGGACGTAGGAGCTGCGGAAAAAGCCCAGCAGCTCGTTCTCGATGAGGGCGTTGTAGATGATCTTAAGGTTGTAACTTTTCTGCACCTCCAGGCTCCGGTTGAGGACCACGACGAACACCTGGGTCTGGGGGTAGAAGAAGGTGCGGGCCACCCGCACTCCGCCGGCCAGCTTGTCCTCGGCCACGCGGACCGCCTCGATGTGCATGCGGTGGGCGTGCAGCACGATGTAGCGGCTGGCGTTACGCACCTCCAGCTGCACGTTCACCTCCCCGCTGAAGGTGAAGTTCTCCATGAAGGCGGTCAGCATCAGGTTGTAGTGCAGCGGCCGCAGGTGCCGCGGCAGCCGCGGCCGGGCCCAGGGCGGCAGCTCCCGCCGCCGCTGCCACTCCTCCTCCTCCTCCTCCTCCTCCTCTTCCTCCGCCGCTTCTCCGCCCCGCGCATCCTCCTCCGGCCGGCCGGGGGGTTGCCCCGCACCGTGCGGCTGCCGGGCTACCCCCGAGAGGCTCCCGTTGCCGCCGGCCCGCGGCGGACCGTCGGCGGCGGCGCCGCACTCCTCGAAGCGGACGCTGAGCAGCACGGCAATCATGGTCACTGCCAGCAGCGCTAGGATGGAGACAGCGAAGCCCAGCACCAGGCGCTTGTGCACGGCGATGTGCCGCTCCGTGGTGCGGGGTCTTGGCCCCGCCGCCTCGGCCCAAGGTCCCGGCGGCAGCCCCCGGCTGCCGTTCCGCAAGGCGGCCTCCTCCTCGATCATCATGGGGGTGACGGGCGGGCGCTTCTCACGCTTCTCCTCCAGGGCCATCACGGCAGCGCCGCCCCCGCCTCCCGCGGGGCCGCCGCCACCCGAGGGGGCCTCGACAGCATGGGAGACTCCGAGGCAAGGGGCCCTCGGCCCGCGTGGGACGCACGGTCTCTCACTTCCCAACGAGCCGCATCACCCTGGCCGCCGGGAGCCCCGCGTTGGAGCAGCCCTCAGGGAGGGGAACGGGACGAGGTCGGGTCGGGTCAGGCAAGAGGCGGCGGGCGCTCCCCGCCGTCCGGCCGCCGGGCCACGGCGCGCTGGCAACTTGTGCGGCTTCTGCGGGGCACTTCAGCACATGCCGCCGAGCGCACCTCGGCGCCAGGGGGGAGGGCTCTGCCGCCCCGGCCCCCTGCTAGCGCCGCCGTCCGCAGGGAGCTCTCTTTCCCCCGCGTCCCGAGCCGCCGAGGCCGGGGTCGGGCTCCTCGCCCGGCCCCGGCAGCGCCCGAGCCATGCGCGCCCCCGGGGCGCCGCCGCGCAGGTCGGCCCGTCCCAGCGGGGCTCGCCCGGCACCGGGGGCGGTGGCGCCGGACAGCGGCGCGGGCCGGGCCCGTCCTCCTCTTCCTGATAGCGGGTCAGGCTCCTGAGAGTCGCTTCTCTTATTTTCTCTTTCCTGTCTCCTGCAGGTACAGAGCAATCTCCCGGCTGGCTCGAGCAGAGGCGGCTATATATAGGCACCGGGGAGAGGCGAGGGAAGGGAAGGGAAAGGATGGGAAGGGGGGAGAGGCGGGCAAGCCCCGCCGCCCCTCGGCTTCAGCGGCTGCTCCGGCTGCCGGCGGTGACGGCGGCGCCCCGGGGGAGCGGGCGGGGGCGGGAGGCGGGGGCGACGCGGGGACGAGGGAGGCTTTTCTCCGGTGTGTCACACGCGGCGGCTCCGGGGGAGGTCGCTGAGGCGGCGGAGGGAGCCCCGGCCGGGGCGGGCGGAGGGCGAGGGCCAGGCTGCGCCGGGAGTGGGGAGGCTGCAAAGCCTCCGAGCCGCAGGACTGCCCGGGATTACACGCGAATGCGTGTGCTCTCCACATAAATATTGAATGCCCTTACTGTGCCATATTTATAGAGACTTAATAAAGAGCCGCCGACTACGTGTTTGAACGACAATAGTGCTGTCATACTAACGTGAGGATGGAGCTCAGAAAAGGATAAATACTCCTACTTAAATCGATGGGATTAATATGCCCGGGAAAAAATCGTGCCGTAAGCGTTGGCTGGTACTTTCAGAAATCCCCCTGCCGTAACTCCGCGGCCCCAGGACTTTCTCTCTTGCTCTCCTTGTTGTCAGTGCTGAACCTCCACCCCTCAGCTGGAGGGATTTAAAGATGTGTTAAATGCTGCCTGCGATAATACAGCAACACTTGGCTTGAGTACCCCTAGGAGTGAGTCCCTGTCTGGAAAGCCGAATCAGCCTACTTTTTCCAATTGCACCCAAACTTTTGTACATAGGATCTGCAAACACACAGAATTAATATATTAAACAGCAAGGATCTAGATCAATGTCTGAGAGCATCTCTGTTCCCCTTATTTTGCTTGCATACTTCAAAAACTATCTCTGTTCATTTTCTCTTTTGAAGCTCTTCAGCTGCAATCTTGTAAGCAGTCACAGATGTGTCTATCTTTGGCATTCAGTCCTGTGGAATCTATGGGAATATATGCTGTACATCAAGTTAAATGCATACATAACAATTCACAGGATAAATGCCTTACTTTCCATAGTGAAGAGAAAAGAACAAAAAATCAAGTCCTGCACTTCTTTCATAAGCAAAGTAAATCTGAAGAGTTTCATTAAATGTGATATATTAGCCATTTTACTTCAAGAGGAAATGCCTAATCTTTCTTTGTCCTGAATCTTCGACATCTTCAAGAAGCGTTACATCACTTTGCATACTGTTGCAGAATACAAATGATCATTTATTGACACTTAAACCAGATTAAGGATTACCAGTTTCAGTATAAGGAGTTTGCTAGCTTCCTTATATATTCCTATAGAAGGATTGTATTCAGGTCTACTGTCTCTGGAAAGAAATGAGCCTTTATTTTTATCTTGCAGCACAGTCTAAAAAAGGTTTTTAATCTTAACAAATTTTAATTAGAGGTATGTTGATACACTTTCTCATTGTGTTTCTATGTCCTAGGAGGCCTAAGATTTTGCTCAATAATGAGTGTTGCCCTGTATTTCCTGTGGTGATATTTGGCTGCCCACCTGTTAGAACAGGTCAAAGAACAGAAACATTTTATTATCTGAAAAGAGCCTTCATTATTTGTTGACTGAAGTGTGAAGCAGAAAGGTAGAAAACTATTGCTATGTGGTTTGGAAAAAAAAAGAAGAAACTGACATGGCAAAATAACATCCAAAGCTACAGGTTTAAAATGTCAGTTTCTATATGTTTCATTAAACCCTTTAAAAGTGGGCACAAAAGGAAGTGCCTGAGTGCTTTTAAGATTTTGTGTGCAGGCTGTCAGTATCAGGCATTAGTAAAATAGGCAGTGTTTTCCTCTGTCGCTCTCTGAACTGCACTTTCAGTTATGTTTGTTCTTGTCAGCAGTGCAGGGAGATGTTCAGGCAAAGATGTAATTCAAGAGTAGAAGTAACCTGGAATAAAGTAGTACATTATGTCCTATTTATAAACATTTCTGACTTTTAATAATTTCAATTAAGTACAGTTCAATAGTTACAAGTTTCACGGGTTAAGGTTTTTGTGAAGCCTTTTCAGAAAAGCAGTGAGTAGCAGGTAGTTGGGCTAACCAGGTCTGCCACTTTTAGAGAGGAAGATACAAGTGTGTGTGTGTATGAGAACACAGGAGCATGATTCCGGCCATCTTGATGTACAGATAACAAATACATAACTCTCCAGGCTGAAATCTTCCAAGCCCTGCCAAGGGAGTCAGTCGTGCAATTTAGCTTCAACAATAATAGGCTATAAATTGTAGGGTCAGTATGAGAGAGCGTATGTAAAAGGTTTAAGTTGCATCCTTATGAAGAGCCATGAGGCTGATTCCTTTTAAGCCAAGTTGGAATAGCACTCCAAAAACTGGCACAAGGCATGAGTGGTGGGAATTAAGGCTGTCTAGATTCACCTCCAAATTTCATCATTGCAGAAAGAAAATATTGAGAAGTTTGTGACCCCTCCTCTTTGGGCTTGTCAGTCTGGAGACTTACAATAAGAAGGTGCAGCTAGGTATTGTGTTAAATAGCTCATGAGCCTTAACTCATCCATCATTCTGAAACTTCATATTACCAGATTAACCTCTTCTTCATATTAGTAATGACAGGTTTCTAAAATATAGCTTGACCAGATACAGGTCAAAGAAGGTATTAACTTGGTAATTTGTTCTCAAATGCTGCTCTCTGCAAGTAGTTTAGTGTACAGACTGTTACATATAGCCATTTTGCTGAAGAAAATACAAAGGCATGCGGCTCCCAAAAAAACTTGTGTGTACATCTGGGAAAAATTCTTGTTTTTTCATCTGTCCACGGTTATAAACATAGACATGGATTTCATGCATTTTGCCTCTGAAGCTTGCGACTCCTTTGTTCTTTCTGCATAGGCTGTTTGAAAATATACCAGATCATGGTTCATTTTTTCCAGCAAAGTCCTGATATTGACTTCCTGTTGTTCAAAACTTCCCCTAGGCCATCAACCTCTTGTATGCAATCTCATTTTATGAGCTTATAGCCTGGGTTTTCAGGTATTCATACAAAATAAAAGAGAATGTCTCACCTTAACTCAATTTCTATGGAGATGGCCCTACCTAGACAAGTATCAGAAGAAACATGGATAAACTTCAGATAGCACAATTTCCAATTCTGTACCAGCTTATAGCATGGCTCCCAAAGAGCTGATGAGGGACCCACATAAAGCTGTAGTTTATGTTACATTAAGATTGCACACAACACCTCTCAGTATTCACACTGGTGCTTTACAGTCTTGGAAGAAAAGCACTATAAATGAGTAACTTCATTGTATATCATGCAGTTGGGTACAGTTCATCCAACCCAAAGATTGGCACATTATATTTTTCTGAGTCTGCCTAAATATGGCTGCTTTTTAATCCAAGTGATCCATCCTTCATTCATCTGTATATAGCAGAAGTTTACAGACAGACTTTATCATACTGACACTACTCACAAAAAAAAAAAAAAAAAAAAAAAAGGAGGTTCAGAAAATGTCCTTCTATGCAAAGCCCAAAATCAACAATTTATATTGGGAAAAATTACAGGGGAAAAAAGACTGCATCAGCCCCTATCAGTCAGTGCTCCGCTGACCCTTTCAGCCTCAGTCAGGCATTTCTCTGGTCATAGCTGGATTCTCCTTGCGTACTTTAAAGTCAAGGATACCCATAGGTCTTAATCCCTCCTGTTTAAGTTCTAAAATGGACTACACTTCATACCCTACTAATATACTGGCAAAAAAACATCAACAAGGTGACCCCTCAGAGTGTTATGAACTACTCACTCCCCACAGACACAGCTTCTGTCTAGCTGTTACTTACAAGACCAAGTGGGGGATGACTGTTTCCAGCCACACAGGTTTCCAGTGAAGCAAAAGAGGAAATTATCAGTCTATCATCCACTGACTTTTCAGTTATGACTAATTCCTCAAAGAATTGATACTGCTTAATGGGATAGCTGTGTGCTCTTGAGGCTTACAAGTAGGCCAAAGAGAGTGGAGTGGGACAGTGGTCCTATATTTAGTGGTTTTTTAGTTGGTTTTGTTTTGCTTTGTTTTTTCCAAAAGACATTTTCAGTAACATGTCAGGTTTAACATATGGCACTGGGGAATACACCTTCTGTTTAGTTTAAAAATTGCTGCTAAGAAAAATGCTAAGGGAAAGACTTTCTAATTAAAAGTGAAAACACTGGATTGTAAAACAAGCTGACACACGGTGATTTGTGCTGGCTTAAACATCCCAAGAAAAGGAACATGTTTTCCATTGTTTTCTGCTCCTTCACCCTCATGTCATCTGTATAAATGACCTTTCTTACTTGAGCTCATTGACAGTAAGCACTATTTATGTTTAGTTTATAGCTAGAGATGTCCAGATGTCTAGGTATGGCTTTATCATGGACAAGTTTTATGTTTCCTTTTTTTAAAGGAGTAGATGCATGAGGAAGGGGCTTGGTGCTGTGGGCAAGGTCCTATGGAGTGAGAAGATAGAAGCTTGCCACAGGACAGAGGCTCTGTAGTAATCTCGATCCTTCTCTTCCACTCCTTTTTTCTCTTATCATCACCTCTTGCTTTCCTGTCACCTCTGGAGCTGGAAGGAGCATCAGAGAGCATCAATAGAGCATTGTCTGGGCACCACCAGGCCCCAGTGACCACCTGCTGCTTTCCATTCGCCTTGTGCCTTGAAATCATACCATCGCCACCCTTTGTTGGGGAA